ACGCTGAAAGCGTCACTGGGCACAGACGTGATGCCGGTGTTGTCACAGATGACTCTGGAGAGTGTAACAGCGAACAGAGCCTGCCTCTGCTGTGGCGTGAAAACACCGGGGTTCTGGTACCACAGCCTGAAAAATTACAGAACTTTGGTAAATTATTCCATTCAAATCTACGATTTGCTTTTGAGAAAAGAAATCAAACAATCCTACTCTGCTTTACTGACCTGTCACCCCCACGGATTTTCTGGAACTGAGTTCCAATGAGGCAGGCGAACAGAGGACCCACGCGGCCGCCAGGCACAAATGGCTCTGCGACTCCTCCAAGCCACACGTCGATGTTTTCGGGGGTCCCGTAGAGCTCCAGCAGCTTCTGAGCCAGGGTGGGATTCCTCAAAACCTGAGCCAGCTCTGCCTGGTTACTAGGCTGGGACAGACCACAGAACCTGCGCCAGGCGTTGTAGCCTGAAGTGATAGAAATCATGAGGATAAGAAAGTGAGAAAACAAGAAATGTTTGTCCAATTAGGGCAGCATTTTCATTCTATTTGTAGCATCCAATTTTATTTAGACTTTAATGTTTAATAACTTCCTGTTATTAATTTTTCAACACCTGTAAATACAACAATAGGTCATCAGCGTAGCATATGATGATGTCTTTTAGGCTAGTCTGCGATTTATTACTTGACATTGTATCTGAGGTTTGCTGGTGATCATTAGGACTTAGATCAGTTGTCTCAAACTGCATTCCTCGAGAGTCAGAGTCCTGCATCTTTTTGATGTTTCTCTTCTCCTCCACACTTGAATTAAAGGTCCATAGAGCTCCAAAGAGCTGTGCTGATCAGCTAATACCGGAGCCAGGTGTACTGAAGCAGACAGATATACAAGGTGCAGGACTCCTGCAACTTGAGGATGGGAGTTTGAGACTACTGACTTGGGTCTTTGAGGTTTGGGTCAGAGATCATGTTCAGATTCCCAACTGCAGGGTGGAATAAGTAAATCACGTACCAGGCAGGCCATGATCACGACCCCTCTGCATGTTCAGAGCACCCAGGTCCAGAGCCAGGTGCTGGATGAATTCAAACAACCTCTCTCTCAGAGCATCCACCAGCATGTTGTCCTGAGTGCCCAGTTTAGCAGGGCGACCTAGCAGACCACGCAGCACAGGGTCGACTCCACCTGGAGAGTGAGAGCAAAGGAAATGAGGGCTTCGTCCTAAAACACAATGACAAGATGGCTGCAGTTATTTCTGTGGGGCATACCTTCGAAGATGACTCTCCAGGGGGTGAAGAAAGCCTTGAACAGGGGGACACTGGGGAACTGAGGGTGCTCTCTGTAGTTTGGATCCAGTCTGAACAAAGCTGGCTGGATGGCCAGGTGAGCGAAACGGTAAGCAGCTGTCGCAAACACATTGGCGATGCTAGGGTCAACATTGGAGTTGTAGCCTGGGTAACGTCCAATATGTCTGCGCATTGCATCAGGACCCAAAATGTGAGGAAGATAATCCCTGAAGACAAAAATCTGATACACAAAAACCAGCATTTGAGTGAACAGCACAGGCTTTGAAGAAAATGAGACTCCTTGCTGACTCTTTGAGGTTGTTTACCTGGGTGTAAGCACCCATGATCTTGCGCGCCTCTTGGTAGAGAGTCTCACTGTCCCAGTGTGGATTCAGCCTCTTCAGCTGACGAGCCAAACGGTTGTGTTCACGCACAAACAGGGTGTGGATAGAGGTCAGGGCGATGTTCTCATCCACGCGGCCATCACCTGCAGAGAAATACACCAACAGCTCAATTCCTGCTGACATTTTTACTTCTAGAGGAACCTAAAAATGACAAATTACTGTAATACTGAAATACAGACTTGCAGGGTTTGCTCATTAGCAAATCCTGTGTTTCACAACTTGTGTTGTTGCTGAATTTTGTTTCAGTTTGTTCTGCTCTTATTGAAGACTGACTACATAGACTAAGTATTTGAGCAATATTATTTTTTTATGTTTAAAGGATCAAGCAACATAGTGATTGCTTGATCCTTTAAAAAAATTACACTGTTTTGAGACTTGTCTTTTGTTATTATTTTTTTTTGTCAGTGAAAGATTATGTATTCAACTGTTTAACTCAGTTTCTCTTTAGAAACTCACAAACCTGCAATAAAACAGGGCACCTCCCTGGCGTTGGTATCGTTGGTGATTCTTCTGCGGGTGGCGCACATTTGCACCTGCAGGGAGTGGAAGGGCAGCAGCTCGTGCCCGTTGTCCATGAATTCGGTGTTGACGCGCAGCAGGCCGGAATCACTGGTGAGATCACGAAGGTTCAGGGCAAGCTTCTCATCTGAGCCATATACTTGTCCCAGATCCAGAAAGGCCGTCAGTGAATTGATCTGCTCCCTCTTGTTGGGTTCTCCACCAAAATTAAATGCAGAGTAACCCGTTCCACAGGCAGGAGCAGATCTAAAGGCTGGGATGCAGCTATCTGGACGGGAGGGAAGGCGGGGGTCTCCAGGAGGGATCTGATCGTTAGAAAAGCAAGAGTTTTAAGTAAACAAACAGAAAGGTGAAACAAAATTAAACAATTTGGTTTGAGCTTTGACACCAACCGGGATAGGGATGCATGGCTCACTGTGCTCGCAACTTTCGTCGCAGTTCAGCCCATTGCTAAAGGAGCGGATACTTGGTGAAAATGGTGTGAAGGAGAGGTCATGGTCATTCCACTGGCCAAAAAAGGTCACCATGTGAGCGTACTCTGTGTCATTGACAACGCCTGCATCTGTTGTGCTCAAGATGCTATTGGACACCTGTCGCACCTAAAAGTAGAGAGAAAAACATTTAATGTTACACTTGAGACAAATATTTGGTTAAATAAGTCTGGATTTTGGAAACTAAGTTGGTACCAATGGGAGCAAGAAATTGTTGAATCTGCGATTTAAGTCCCATCCTTTTGGTTGGGAAATGTCATCATCGTACTCAGAGGGCAACCAGCGGGTGAATGGGGTGTTGGAGGCACCCAGGCGAGGGTTGTTTCTGTAAAAGAAATGTGGAAGGTTCGAGATTCAGTAATTCAACAGAAGTGAACACACCTTTTGTGGTGAATGGCCTAAGAAGTTAGAATGCATTTCACAAGTACTTCTCTAGAGGGTAAATTAAAAAAGCAACTTCTAAAAACGATGCTTTGCACCAATAAACCCCAAATTTATACCTAAGACCAAGTTGACAAGATAGCTGATCAATCATTTCTATAAAACTAGACTAAAAAAAAAAAAATCATTCTTTATCATAAAAACTTACAAGTTGTTGCAGACGCTGGTGATTGTGCGATACTTGTTGATATTTGGTGTGTTGTGACATGGTGGATTCCTGATTCGAGCTTCACATCCAGTAATCCGGGCAAGTTCTCTCAAATCTTGTTCCGTGAGTAAATCTGAAATGTATAGTTCAACGATCCATGTGTCTTTATTGGCTTTTGAGTATCATTAGATTATTATTTAGAAGCACAAGACTTTCAACCAGAAAAGGAAAAAAAATCAGCTTTGACTGAGCCTGACCTGTTGCATTGAGGGAGCGCTTGTGCACACGATGCACTTTCTCTTGGACCAAACGGAGAGTCTGTGCCATGTAGTCAGCAGAGCGCACAGCTGAACGAGTGTCACCGCGAGGCTGCTTCAGGAGGCGAAGAGCATCATGAGGCTTCACCACATCCCTGCGGACCCGTCTGAGGCTCCTGCAGGAGAGAAAATGGAAATATCTCTCAGTTTTAACAAGAAATCCAGAGCTCCGCAGTTCAGAAAACTGCTCATCACTCAAGATGATGAACTCACTCTTCTCTGGAGTACGTATATGCATCGTCTACTATTTTCTTTGCTTCTTCAAAGCATTTCTGAAGAAAAGGACTGCCGAGTCTTTCACCTGAAAAATAAGAACAGCTTAAACATCATGCATTTACAAAGCAAATATGCAAAAAAATATTATGTCAGGAGAAATTTACCTGTAGGTTTGGATTGACTGGGCACCAGGCAGAGGCCCAGGATAAGAAGTACAGAGAGAAGCATCTCTAAAACAAAACATCAAACAAACATCAACTGGTTAAAAATACAATAAATTGAAAACCTTTTCCTCTGTGGATCAAAATAATTTTTTCTACCTTTGTCTGTGAAGGCTTCTGTGGCTTTCTAGGATGCTCTTTGAGATCTGGAGGTTCGGATGCTGTGTTCAACTCTCTGGCCCTCCTTATATTCAGTCGACTGACCCAACGCCTCGCCTCCTTTACGGGATGAGCAGGTGCGGCTATTTTCAGGAAATGCAGTTCCTTCTTCCTTATCAAAGTCCTGCAGGAAACACTGCTTTCAGCTAATCAGCCACAGCTTCTGGTCAACTGATATGACTAATGGTCTACTTTAGAAACCTAAAAACAACAATACAATAAGTTCTGCTGGATGGGTTGGCCAGAAAGCAGCACAAACATAGCAACACTGACATGGGGATAAAACGTTTAAATAACTTTGATCAAAACTCACTTTGCAATGTCATTTTTCAAAGATAATTTGATGAAGGTAAAGGAGTAACAAAAAAATCCAGCCAAACACTGAAATGAAATGATGTGATATAGATTTGTTTGGTTTCAAACAATTTTCCTTGAGTTATACTTTGGTAAACTAAATAACAACAAGCAAGTTTAACTTTAGCATTTGTACTTTTTCTAAAGTAGTTAAAGCCAAACTATCACTCCAACATAGAAATTTCCTCAACTTAAACATTTTTGACAGTTATTAATTTTCACCTTCCTAATATAGCCATTAATGATATAACCCAAAATAAACATGTTAGCATTATACTGTTTTCTGCTTGAACCACAAATGAGAATTAAAGTGGAATGAACCAACATCTTGAGTTAGATTCATATCAAAATGTTTAATCTAGTTTTGTAAACTTTTATTATGATATAAATGAAATAAATGACAAAGGAAAAGAGGGACACTTGCTTTTGGAAAAAGCTTTTCTTCAGAATACTTTACTGATGGTTCAGGAGTTTCAGCCTTTAGCAGAACAACACAGAAACTACAGATAAGAAAAATAAAATAAAAAGCAGAAACAGTTTAGTCTTTACCAAATGAAGACAAGAAATCTAAATAATATGGAAATTCAAAGAATCATTTTTTTTATTTAGCATTTAATAGAAGGAAAAAAAATCCAGAATATTTTCATTTGAAAACAATGCTGTAATGACTGTAAATGTGAGTCACACAGGTAAGGAAATAAAAAAGCAATCCTGCATTTGTGCAAGACAAGGAAGTGGAGCAGTAAATGTAAAGTTAATCATTATGTTTCTTTGAAAAGCACCGTAAGTGTGTGTGTTTTATGGTAGGCATGCCTTTTCTGCACATACAATGGGTTTTTCATGCTGTTGTCAAACAAGCTGAAGTTCCTTGATCTTGACTGTCATGAGATTAAGTGAGTAACTGATTATTACTTCAACAGTGTCTTCACACATTTTCCTAAAAAGTGGGTCAATCAAACAACTGCAACTAATTCAGAGAGCTGACTAAAACTCACTAAAACCAGGAAGTTAGAGCACATCACCTCAGTTCTAATGTCCAGCTGAATGCACTGCATGATTTGCAGTGAGAGAAGCTGCAAAGCTAATGGCCTTTTCTCACCTGGAGGAAGAGTGCCGAGTCTTGGAGAAGGATACCTGTGTGGATGACATCCTTACCTTTCACAACAGCATTCCACAACGTTATACAGGTCAGCCTGTGTCCAGTTTGAGTGAAAGGCACTGAGGTAAACTTCAGCTGTGGCAGCGCGTGTGGCGCATGGCCCCCAAAAATGTGACTAGTCCATGCTCCCAGCTTTGTCTGTTAAATGCATCAACTATGAACCCATCTTTAAGGAATAATTGACTCTAAAGGTATGTGCCGGAGTCCATGACTACACCTAAATTACAGGCCTGATCGCTAGTTTCCAGCTGAAGCAGCTGAAGCTGTGTGTCGACTCCAGGCTGCTCCTTTTTAGGTCCAAAGACAGTAACTTCAGTTTTATTTCTGCAAAGCTGAAGAAGGTTATGGCACATCCACACATTTATCTTCTCAGATGTGATTTTGCTAGACACATTTTCCTTCCTTTTTATATTCAGCTTTAAGCGTGAATTATTCTTTCTTTCTTTTTCTTTCAAATTTGCAGTGTGAGATTATGCTACTGCAATAAACGATACACTTATTTGTATGTTTTGACCACAACTTTGCAAGACATGTCATTAAGTGTATTCCACATTTAACATCTCTGAGGTCTCATTTTTGATGTTCTGCAGCTCCTTATTTTAAAAACAGTTGCCTTAAATTTGCAACAAATCAGTAATAAAAAATGAATAAAATCAGTGATTGCTCAATTGCTTTATTGAATGCAACGTTCAATACAAGACAACAAAGTTGCAGCAAACCAAAATATTAGCAAACAAAGCAGAACATAACATTTCAAGGTACAAGTTATTAGTGCATAACATGTTCACAATTTAATAGTCAAACTTGGCCAAATGCAAATTTTTGGTTTAATAGACTGTAAGTTGTAACAGAGTTAAACACATTCCTTCAATTTAAACCCATGGAACGGATATCCTTCTGAGTTTTAGCATAAAACTCACAATTTAATTACAATAAAGTGTAAAATGAGGATACAGTGGTATGGTGTGTCTTTATCTGGTCATGTGCTGCTGTGAATGACTGACGGGAACAGTGACAGGTCACTGGTGTTTTTAATGGGAAGTTCATCCTGGAGAGGGTAAGCTAATTTTATTTATATAGCACATTTTCAGCAACAAGGCAGTTCAAAATGCTTTACATGAATTAGAAGGAAATGCAAAGAAAACAAGAAAACCAAAGACAAAAGTTAGAGTACAAAACTAAATATTGGTTCCCCATGTTTAATAACAAGAAGTAGATCACAATCTATAAAGTAATAGATCTGGATCTTAAGTTTGTTTCTCAATGTTTGATTTTATTAGTTAGCTAAATGTTGGGTCTCCATGTTTGATTCTAGTTCTGGGTAAACTAACAGGAGTTTCTCTAGATCTTGCTCTGATATTAAAAGTAAAAAGCTAAATGTTGGTCTAAAGTAATAAGTACTCCACATTCTTGTTCAGGGCTGCTATTAGTAAGTATGCAAAGCTAAATGTTGGTTGGTTCTGCTATTAGTAACTGTTAAACTAAATGTTGATTCCAGTAGTCCTAGGTTGCTAAGTAGTTGCTAGCTCTAGATTTGAAAGCATAAAGCTAAATGTTGGTCTAAAATAATGAGGACTCCACAGGGTGTGTTTATGTCCCATAGTGAAGAACAAATGTCCTGATAAGAAGATGTTGATGGCCAGCCTGACAATTTCGATCGTATTCCCAGCTTTCTGTTCCAATGGAAGAAGTGCAGAGTGAATGACTGAAGAATATAAACAGGTGTGTCCGAGTTCTGTGTTGGCTTGTTTTGTTTCTTTATGATGGGTATAGGCCGTCATCCCAAAAGAGAAACTGATGTTTGAATATCGGTGATCTTAGAGGACATCTGGGGCTGATTGGTCTTCAAGGATCTGAAGAGAAACATACATTTTGTCAAATGCTGAGAAGATGAAATGAGTAGAGTATTGCTTGCACATAATAATCAAAATTCATAAAGCAACCAAATCTGAGCAATGACAAAAAATATACAAATGAACTGCAGACTTTATGAAATTACTACTCAGAATCAACTACCTCATTGGTCTCAAATTTCAGTGAAACATCTGGATCTTGCAGATCCAGAGGTTCCTGGAGGTCCAGAGGTTCCTGGAGGTCCAGAGGTTCCTGGAGGTCCAGAGGACCATGAACATTTACAGGGTCCACAGGGTCTAAGGCGTCCTGGAGATCCAGAGGGTCCAGATTGTTCAGTTCATCGGTCTGGGTTGGGTTCTGTTCATCACAAGGATCAAAATAAGTCTTCAGATTTTAAATATCCTAGATTTCTTTTGACAAAAGAGTGCCATGATTTCAGTAATAAAGGTTAAAATGACCTCTCCGTCACTGGACTCTAAACAACCAGCAGAGGATCCTGTAATATCAAACACATCAAACATTTTATACACAATTACAAAAGAGAACGCTACACTAGGTAAGCTGACTGGTCCTTAGGATGAAAAAGCTCTCACCGGAGTCACAGAGCATGGAGGTTGTCTCCCTCCATGCTAAAAGATTCAGGCGTGGCAGAGTGGAGCACTGCACCAGAGGGTTCCTATTTGAGACGACGCTGAAAGCGTCTCTGGGCACAGACGTGATGCCGGTGTTGTCACAGATGATTCTGGAGAGTGTAACAGCAGACAGAGCCTGCCTCTGCTGTGGCGTGAAAACACCGGGCTTCTCGTGCCACAGTCTGAAATATTCCAGAATGTTAGAAAATCACTCCATTTGATTTATTTTTGTACTCTTCATTAGTCCCATTCTGCTTTACTGACCTGTCACCCTGACGAATCCTCTGGAACTGAGTTGCAATGAGGCAGGCGAACAGAGGACCCACGCGGCCGCCAGGCACAAATGGCTCTGCGACTCCTCCAAGCCACACATCAATGTTGTCGGGGGTCCCATAGAGCTGCAGGAGATTACGAGCCAGGGTGGGATTCCTCAAAACTTGAGCTAGCTCTGCCTGGTTACGAGGCTGGGACAGACCACAGAACCTGCGCCAGGCATTGTAGCCTGAAGTGATAGAAATCATGAGGATGAGAAAGTTGAGGGATGGAGACAACAAGTAATGATTGCCCAAATAAAACTACCATATTTTCCGCACTATAAGGCGCACCGGATTATAAGGCGCATAGAATAGACGTTGCAGGAGAGGCTGGAGTTACATTATGCATCCACTAGATGGAGCTGCACTAAAGTGAATATCAACAAAACAGTCCGACTCCGGTAGGCGAGGAGAGCCTTCCGCGACTGGGCTGGGGCGTGGCCGGACGATGGTCACCCTTCTCCGTTCGCGCACAGCATGTTGGTGGAGAACGCGGTGCTAAATGACCTGCAGACGACCTGATTATCAGGTCGGTAGGTAGATGGGTCAGCCAAACAAACCAGCGTTCTGACAACTATCCCAGCATGCACCGCGCGCTGCTTCTTCTACGTGGGAAAATGAAGTCGGCGGCTGCTTACCGTAGTTGTTAGACCTGTTGTGGCTCAATATTGGTCCATATATAAGGCACACTGGATTATAAGGCACACCGGATTATAAGGCGCACTGTTGGCTTTTGAGGAAATTGAAGGTTTTTAGGTGCGCCTTATAGTGCGGAAAATATGGTAATCAGTAAAAATATGCTGCTGAAATAATGGACACTCCTATAAAATGTTGCAGG